AAAAATTTTTAAAACATTGAAACCATTCAAGAAGCTAGAGAAAGAATAGCATATTGAACACTAAGAAGTAGAAGGTAGGAGAAAATAAAGATAAATGTAAAACAATGAATTAGAAGACAGCAGAACCAAAAACTAGTGAAATCTAGTACTTTGAAGGATTTATGTACAAATTCATAACTATTACAAACACACATGGAATAAGCAGAAATAAGTTGTTCTAGATAAATAAATTTTGAAAAAATTAGGATGTGAAAGTTAATGAGCACTTATAAGAGAACACTTTAAAGTAGTGCTACCAGTATCTGAAGATAATGAAAGGTGCACAAGGACAAAATTACACCCAAAGGACAATTTCAGGTAATAAACTCAATGGAATTTTATAATTACTAGAGGCCCGGTGCACAAAATTCATGCACAGGAATGGGGTCCCCCTCAGCTTGGCCTGCACCCTCTCCAATCTGGGACCCCTCAGGACCTCTGGTTCCTAACCGCTCACCTGCCTGCTGGCCTGATCCCCCTAACTGCTTTCCCCTGCTGTCCTGATCCCCCCTAACTGCTCTCCACTACTGGCCTGATCCTCCTAACTGTTCTCCCCTGCCTGCCTGATCACCTCTAACCACCTCTGCCACAGCCCCTGTGAGTTTGTGTCTCCCATCCAGCCCCCAGCAGCCCCAGCACTGTGATGGTTGGCCTTGGGGCTGCTGGGTGCCTGGCTCCCCTGCAGGTTTGTGTCTCTGATCCGGCCCTCAGCAGCCCCAGAACTGCAGCGGCGGGCCTTGGAGCTGCTAGTTGCCAGCCTCCCTATGTGTTTGTGTCTCTGATCCAGCCCCCAGCAGCCCCAGCACCATGGTGGTTGGCCTTGGGGCTGCTGGGTGCCGGCCTTCCTGCATGTTTGTGTCTCTGAGCTGACCTTCAGCAGCCCCAGCACTGAGGTGGCAGGGCTTGGTGATGCTGGTTGCAGGGCCCTCCTGCGGGTTTGTGTCTCTGATCCAGCCTCCAGCAGCCCAAGAACTGAGGTGGCGGGGCTTGGGGCTGCTGGGTGCTGGCCTCCCTGTGTATTTGTGTCTCCCATCCAGCCCCCAGCAGCCCCAAGCACCGCCTGGCAGTTATGGTGTCACCATCCTTGGTGGGTAAATTTGCATACTCATCCTGATTGGCTGGTGGGTGTAGAGGAGTGATGACCAACTTGCATGTTTCTCTTTTCTTAGTGTAGATAGAACTAACAGTCTCTAATGAGTTTATGGATAAAGATGATCATCCACATCACCACAAAGGAGAAAACAGACATCACATATCCCCAAAGGGAAGTGCATATTGTTACCTCTAGAGTGTGCTTGCCAATAACCAAACAAATATCTAACCTTAATAGGAGCAAGATTCTTCCTATAAAAGTGGAAGATCGTTGTAGATGTATGTCAGGTAACTGGGTGAATTATTCTATTCTCTGTACTATTGTATATGTATGAGAAGTTGTACAATCAGAGGATTTTATTTAAATGTCATGCCTTTTATATGAAGATTCAAATGGAGCAGTTTAGGCAGAAAATAAATGGTTACATAGGTCCACAGAAAAATAGAAATCTCCAATCAAAATGTCAAAAACAGAAACTACAATCTAACCCAAGGCTACATAAAAATACTGCAAGACCGGCCAGGTTTAGGTATTTGTTAACACCAAATGGCAAAGGAAAAATGAATTACCATCTCATATAAACTCTTCTAAACCATACAAAAGAATGGGAGTTATTCAACCATTGTATCAGGCTACCACTCTTCATACAAAGACCAGATGAGGATCCCTCAATAAAACAACACTGAAGCCAACATGAAATAGACACAAATATCATACATAAATTCATAGTATTTCCTATGTGGCAGTTAATAAACATTAGAAAATACTGTGAACTACAAATCACTCCATTTGCCAAAAAATAGGTAAAAAACATGTGACAATGTGTAGGAGCAAAGAAAAAGTCATTGGCAAAAATTCACACCAGTTCACGATATCCTTTAGCAAGCATTATGACCAAACTTCCATTGTGCAAGCTCTACAATGAGAATCATTATGAGCATAGCCAATAGAGTGCAGAGGAGGACATAGATATTTGGTATTTAATACAGTTTAGAACTCAATAAAAAAAATACATAGATAGTACATAGCTATTACAAAAGAGTACAAACACAAAAGTAAATAAGAGGTAAGAATAGTGCATAGAAAGAGATAATAATGGTAAAACTATGATCTAATAATTAAAAAAATACAGAGAAATTGGTGCAAAAAATGCACATTGTAAGGAACTTCAGAAAATTGATGTATGAAACGTCACTATCGCAGAATCAGGGCTATGGTCAAACTAAATCACTAATAAATAACATGTAATGCAAAATATACCATTCACAACAGTAAAATATGAAACATATCTAACAGAAAAAAAAGCAGAAATGTACAAGTCTTTTTTTAAAGCAACTGTAAAAACTTATTGATAATGCTTATGAAAAAGGCATCTCAGAGTAGAATACTACATTTACTGAAGGGAAAGAGAATATTGTGAATATGTTAATTCTCCTGAATATATTTACATACTTAATTCCTAACCTATAACTGCAAAGGTGACAACCAAGCTCAGGCTGCTGTTTCCCATACCCCATATCATCCCAGGAAAAAATTAAAGAAGAAATAACAGAAATGATATTGATGATAGGAGGAAAGCAACAACAAATATGACAAACTGCTGGGAACCCCAGCTCAGTGTTGAACTAGAACTTGTGTGCATGCAGGTGGGGAGACAGGCTTGAGGTTGAGACTGGTCTGTAGGGAGCAATAAAGGCAGATTGAGAGGATCGACTGGAGGAAGGTTTTAAGGTTCAACCCTTGATTCTTCCAGGATACCCTTGGAGGAAGCCTTTCTACTGCTTCACAGAAGGACCTTGGGGCAGCACCCCAGAGCCCACATGCCAGCACCGTGGGGTACTCTGAGGATCAACGTTTGGGATGGTCATGGCATTATGAGTCCAGAGGCTATGCTATAACCACCTGAAATGTTGTTAGTGGATAAGAACGGTCATCTTAATAGACCATCAGCACAGATTAAAGTAGAATAGCAAGGAGCACAGCAATGGCACGTCATTCGTTTTAGGAAATTTGGACAATGACAGTGATGTCAGGCAGAGGTCCCAGGCTGAGCTGTCAGGCTAAGGAGCACCCCAGTTCCCACTGGGTGCTGGAGGAACTTGGACAGGAAAGCAGGGCTTTCAGTTCAGGAAGGGAGAAGGCTGTGTACCCCAGGGCCCAGGAACCCACTGGATTCGCACCCCTGCAGCCTTGTCTGGGAGGCCTCAGGCAGGAGTGGCTGGAGGAGAGGCACCTGCACACAGATCAGGAGTCCCAGGGAGCCGAGGTCATGGATGTGAGGGGCTGGCCCCAGGTGAGCAGAGGAGGGATCCTCGCACTGACACGGAGTCAAGAGGAGGCATCAAGAGAGGACTGAGGGGAGCACCCACCCATGTCAGCCTTGGGAGTCCAAGGCATGGCTGCTGAGCGCAGGGCCCTGAGCCTTCCTACTGGGTCAGGAGGGCACTGAGAGCCTGGCTCCATGGACAGGTAATGAAGCAGGGCAGAGGGGGCAGGCCTCACACCTGCCCCGGCCCACAAGGCCCACGTGGGTCTGCAGAACACTGCCACTTCCGGTGTCAACCCACGTGACCGGAAGTGCCGGCCTCACTGCTGCGAAGCCCAAGCTCTGGGGGACGAGGCCCGTCTAACGGCTGCTGCCCAGGCCGAGCTGAGGGAGCAGCCCAGGTCCTGTCCCAGTCAAGGTGCGAGGAGGTCGGAGTGCGCACCGGGGGGCACTTCCCCAGCAACCCCAGGCCCTTTTCTCCGAAAAGAGGGGCCCCCGAGCCTGCCCTCCGCCCCTGCTCTCGGCCCTGGAGGCCCCAGAGAGGCCTTGGACGGGGGCCGTCAGCAGGTCAGCAGGGGGAGGATGTGCAGGCCCTGGGAAGACTCAGGGACAGTCAGGGGGTGCGGGCCTTGGTGGAAGGGGCTGGCAGAGGGAGGATGTGTAGGTGATGGGAAGACTCAGGGAGAGTATGGGGTGGGGGTCCTGGTGGGAGGGGCTGGCAGAGGGAGGATGTGCAGGCCCTGGGAAGACTCAGGGACAGTCAGGGGGTGCGGGCCTTGGTGGGAGGGGCTGGCAGAGGGAGGATGTGCAGGCCCTGGGAAGACTCAGGGACAGTCAGGGGGTGCGGGCCTTGGTGGGAGGGGCTGGCAGAGGGAGGATGTGCAGGCCCTGGGAAGACTCAGGGGGAGTCAGAGGGTGGGGGCCCTGGTGGGAGGGGCTGGCAGAGGGAGGATGTCCAGGTGATGGGAAGACTCAAGGAGAGTCAGGGGGAGGGGCCGTGGTGGGAGGGGCTGGCAGAGGGAGGATGTCCAGGTGATGGGAAGACTCAAGGAGAGTCAGGGGGAGGGGCCGTGGTGGGAGGGGCTGGCAGAGGGAGGATGTTCAGGTCCTGGGAAGACTCAGGGACAGTCAGGGGGTCGGGACATGGTGGTGGTGGGGGGGGGCTGGGAGAGGGTGGATGTCCAGGTGATGGGAAGACTCAGGGACAGTAAGGGGAGGGCTAGGTGGGAGGGGCTGGCAGAGGGAGGATGTGCAGGTGATTGGAAGGCTCAGGGAGTGTGAGGGCTTGGGGGCCGTGGTGGGAGGGGCTGGCAGAGGGAAGATGTCCAGGTGATGAGAAGACTCAGGGAGAGTCAGGGGGATGGGCTGTGGTGGGAGGGGCTGGCAGAGGGAGGATGTCCAGGTGAGTGGAAGGCTCAGGGAGAGTCAGGGATGTGGACCCCTGGAGCACTGCCCTCAGACCCTGCAGACATGGCCTGTTTTAAATCCCAGGTGCAATGTCCCTACTGAGGGAGCACACACCATCTCACTCTCCTCCTCCAGGTGCCAGCATCACATCCTCTCCTGCCACACAAGTGCACGCTGCCCCTGACCAGTGTTGTCATGCCTCGGGGAAAGAAGAGCAAGCACCGACGAGAGAAACGCCAACAGGGCCTGGGTGACAACACTCAGAGTCTCAAGGGTGCTGAGGCCACAGCAGAGGAGACTGAAGTGCCCGTCTCCTCTCCTCCCAATGATGATTCTCCCCCGAGCTCCCCTGCACCTGACCCATCCCAGGAGCCCCAGGGAGCCACAGCCACTAGCTCTCTTGAGGCAGGTGTCTTATGCCCATTATCTGATGCCAGTGCCAAGCGCCAAGGTCAGGAATGTGCCCGTGCCTCCCAGGCAGTACCTTCTGCTCTGCGGGCTCGCAGAGATCCACTAAGCAGGGTGGTTAGCAAGGTGGTGCAGTTCGTGTTGGAGAAGCTGAGTAAGAAGGAGCCCATCATTCAGAACGCATTGCTGAGGATTGTCAAAAGGAAGTACAAGGAGCAGTTCCCTGAGATCCTCAGGAGAGTCTTTGAGCGCATGGATCTGGTCTTTGGCCTTGACTTCAAGGACGTCAACCCCAGCAACCACACCTATGCCTTTTTCAACAAGCAGGGCCTCCGGGTTGAGGGAGACCTGAGCAGTGATGAGGTCGTGCCCAAGACCGGGTTCCTGATGGTGCTCCTGGGTGTGATCTTCATGAATGGCAACCTCGCCACTGAAGAGGAGATCTGGAAGTACCTCAAAGTATACGGGGTCCTCCCTGGGAAGAAGCATCTCATCTTCGGAGAGCCCAGGGAATTCATCACCAAGGATCTGGTTGAGCAACATTACATCGAGTGCCGCCAGGTTCCCGACAGTAATCCTTCACGCAACCTGTTCCTGTGGGGCCCAAGAGCCCATGCTGATATCGGCAAGATGAAAGTGCTGGACGTGCTGGCCAGGATCTACAATAAGCTCCCCACTGCCTTCCCAAACCTGTATGAGGAGGCCTTGAGAGATGAGGAAGATAAAGCATGGTTGAGAGCCGCAGCCATGGTTGGCTCTTTTTCCAAGCACAGGCTTTGTTCCAAGTCCAAGTGCTGCACCTGCTCCCACAACTAGTGAGATCTGAGGCAGCCTTTTCACCTTGAGTTTGAGGAGAGCAGTTCAACCTTATGAAGAGTAGAGTAGTGGGCTCTGGAGGGAACAAAACGTTTATGTTCTTGAGTTTCTTTTTCTTTTGTAGATGACTAATTTTTAGGGTTTTATGTATTTTCAAAAGTTGTTCCTTCTATGAAAAGGTTTATTTGCTTCAGAATCTATGTTTATTAATGTCACGGATGCCACATTTATTAAAGTTGATGTTTAATATTAAGGTTGTTTATTACAAGCCGATTGAAAATCCTTCAATATGTTCTTTTTCCTACAGTTCAAGGCACAATAATAGGATTTTTCCTGGGCATTTAAAATATTTGGGGTAACAAAATGGAGAAACAAAAGTAAAGGCTGATTAATTCTTTGTTTGCTTCATTCTCCTTGCTCTTTTCTTATAAAATTAAGTAGCATATACCTGGATTTGCTTATCTCCTTTAAAGTTTTTAAGAAAATAAATTTGAATAAATTTGAATTCTTGCTCATCTCTTTTCTTTTCCCCTCCAGCATTAATAGACCATATGCTCTTTGGAAATATCTAATAGCACTAGAAATGGTAAGAAAAGGAAGCCTAATAGCCACTGCCCATAAAATTTAGAGTCTAGCATCAGCATTGAACATATAAGGAAAATGGTGTCATACAATGTAAGAAATAGGTAAATGACGAGTAACAGAAGAGGTGTGGAAGAAAGCAATTTATTGCCCATCATGTGAGCAAGGCAGTGTTGGGCCTTGGAAATCTCTAGTCCCTCAGTGTGTCAGGGACAGGAAATTTCAGTCGGGTTGCTTGATGCACTGGATGAAGCTGAGGAAGTGGGGGGTATGGACCATACCTATAGGTGATAGGTCTTAGAGTTGAGTGGTTAAGCCTGGAATGGAAAACAGATCTTAAGGGTTATTTTGTATGTGGGAAAACCTGAGAGAAATATCCACATGGGGCCAGACTAGAAGGGGTCCAGTCTGCTTGCTCCACAGTATGAACTAGGTGTTTTGGGGACAAAATATTCAGAATGTTTCTGAGAAATAAAAGTAGTACTCCCTTTAAGTGAGGTACCAAGGAGCCACTGGAAAGTCTTTCTTTTCATGACTAGAAGAGCCAGATCTCATTCCATGAAAATGGCACTTTAATTAGAACATTTGTGTGTAACTTGGCAAAATGTAAGGGCGGGCTCTATTTGTGGTGGTGGTGAAATGAAAAAACTTAAGGGTGGCTTGGATGAAAAGGCACCTGGGAGAGAAGTTGTTGTTCCTTCAGACTAATAAATTGTGAGTGCATCTTGTTAGAGAAGACAACCTACACTCTTATTGTATAACAAATGCTCTATTCAGGAATTTCTATTTATTTCTACTTGCTCAGAAACATTTTGGCTGATATGGTTTTCTATCTTATATTAAGTTGCATGTTCAGTAATAGAACATGGAAATTTAATTCTATGAGGAAAGGTGGTTATTATCTGGTGTCAAAATCATCCTATCTAATAATAGACAAACATGGTCATTAACCATAACTTCACTACCCTTCCCATTGGCTAATCAGGGCGATATGCAAATTAACTGCCAACCAAGATGGCGGCCGGCAGCCAGGCAGCTGAAGCGAACAGGAGGCTTGCTTGCTCCAGTGAAGGAGGAAGCCAAGGTTCCCCGCCTGCCACTGCCGGCCTCTGAGCTGCACTCTAAGAAACAATGTTGCAATTATAGAAGCTAAACAATCCCAGAAACCTGCTTTCAGACAGCAGGGCCTCAGAGCTGGAGTTGCAACAGTGTTTCGATTATAGAACCCAAACAAACCCAATACCTGCTTTCAGCAGCCGAGGCCTCAGAGCTGGTGCTGAGCCTCAGAGCTAAAGCCGGCTCTCAGTTCCAGTGACAGCCATAGAAGGTAAATAAATCCCAGAATAAAAAAAAAGAGAGAGAGAAAAAAAGGGGATGTTGGGAGCTTCAGTCACCCCCCAGCCTGTAAATGGCCCTCAGCCCCTCACCCAGACTGGCCAGGCACCCCAGTGGGGACCCCCACCCTGAAGGGGGTGTGACCAGCTGCAAACAGCCATCATTCCCTCACCCAGACCGGCCAGACACCCCAGCGGGGACCCCCACCCTGAAGGGGGTGCGACCAGCTGCAAACATCCACCATCCCCTCATCCAGGTTGGCCAGGCACCCCAGTGGGGACCCCCACAATGATCTGGGACACCCTTTAGGGCAAACCAGCCGGCCCCCACCCGTGCACCAGGCCTCTATTCTATATAGTAAAAGGGTAATATGCAAACTGACCCTAACAGCAGAAGGACTGGGAATGACTGGTCACTATGACACACACTGACCACCAGGGGCAGACGCTCAATGCAGGAGCTGCCGTCTGGTGGTCAGGGCGCTCTCACATGGGAGGAGCTCTGCTCAGCCACAAGCCAGGCTGATGGCTGCCAATACAGCGGTGGTGGTGGGAGCCTCTCCCGCCTCCTCAGCAGCACTAAGGATGTCCGACTGCAGTTTAGGCCTGCTCCCCGCTGGCAAGTGGACATCCCCCAAGGGCTGCCAGGCTGCCAGAGGGATGTCTGATCACCATCTTAGGCCCAATCCCCTGGGGAGCGGGCCTAAGCCAGCAGGTGGTCATCCCCTGAGGGGTCCCAGACTGCGAGAGGGCACAGGCTGGGCTGAGGGACTTCCCCTCCCCCCGAAGTGCACAAATTTTTGTGCACCGGGCCTCTAGTCCTATATAATAAAGAGGTAATATGCAAATTAACCATCATGCTGTCAAGCTTGTCACAAGATGGCTGCACACACAGCAGAGGCATGGTTCCTGTAATGAGCCTTAACCAGCGATCAGCAGGAACCTGAGGCTGCTTGGTGCCGGGGCAAGGCATGGGACCTGAGGCCTCGCCACCTGTCTGGCGGGGCTTAATGGGGAACCTCAGAGTGTGCCTCCCACCCCAGGCCAGGCCGGTGGACCTCAGGCTGCCCCCCCACACACACCAGCACTTGACCAGGGGACCTCAGGCTGTTCCCCTAGGCTGGTGGGCCTTGATGGGGGACCTCAAAGTGCACCCCTCACCCCAGCACCAGGCCAGAGGACTTCAGGCCTTGCCCACCCCACACCCTGGCCCCAGCTGGGAGACATCAGGCCATGCCGACCGCCCAGCCAGGCTTGACTGAGGACCTCAGGCCATACCCCCCACCCTGGGGCTGGATGGGGACCTCAGACGGCACCCTATGACCTAAAGGGCTTGACAAGGGACCTCAGTCCTAGCCCCCCACTCTATGCTGCTTGATGGGGGAACTCAGGCAGCACCTCCCGCCCATCAGACCTTGATAGAGGTCCTCAGGCCATGCCACCCACTTGGCAGGGTTTGACGGAGGACTTCAGGCTGTGCCCCCCATCCTGGTATTGGGCAGGGGGACCTGAGACTGCACTTGTGCCCAGGCCAGGGGAACTGAGGCCACATCCCCACCACAGCACCAGGCTGGAGGACCTGACAGTGTGCCGGGGGACCTGAGGCTGAGCCACCAGCCTGGTGGGGCTTGCAGGGGCCCTGAGGCTGCAACCCCACTTGGCGGGGCTTGAGGGGGGACCTGAGGCTGCGCCCCCCACCAGGTTGGGCTTGACAGGGTTGGGGCTGGCCCGGTCTGGTTCTTGCTCAATGGGGGTGGGGCCGGTGGGGTCTGGGTCTCGCATGATTTGGAGGCACTTGTGGCTGGGCAGGGACCTGACTCTGGGTCCTGCGGTGCGCCCCAGACTCTGACAGGAGGAAGTTTTTCATATACATTTTACTAATTTTCTTTCATCTCTGACATTTCTATTATAGAGAAAGGGCAAATAGCAATATTAAAATATTTCCTCTAATTAATTCCCTTTTAATGGTCACGAATTTCGTGCATTGGGCCACTAGTCTTACTAATAACTGCCATGCATTAAAAGCACCAAATTCACCTAATGTTGTGCTAGGTAGTTTATATTAATCACAAATGAATGTCCACCCTCCTGCATGAATGACTACCAGAATCATTTTGTGGATAAAGAACTTAGTTTGAAGATGTAACCACTATTCAACTAAAGGGGTGGGGACACAAGGCCAGATATGAAGCCAAATGAGGACTTTTAGTGATGACTGAGGACCTCAAAGGGACCAGGACAGGAAACCACATTTAACACTGGGAATACCTGCACTGGGTTGATGAGTTGAGGGCTCAATTCACTGCGTTCTTTTTGGTCCCATGGCATGCCACCAGTTGAATGATGTTCTTCAATGTGAAAGACTCCTCAAACTCAAAGACTGCCTGCCCCTACAGTCACCTCAGTATGCCTCAGGTAAGACTGGCAGGATGCAGCATAAAGTTTTCCCAAAGCACAAGATGAAGGTTTTTAGAGTGGTGCCCTTGAGGGGAGGTGCAAATGCAGACTTCCTTACAATCAAGGTGTTACTCCTATGCCAAAGCTGCACATACATTCTTGACCTTCATCCTCCAGGAACTCTCATTACCTGTCTTTCAAGTACCATCCTGACCATTTTCTCTGACCATAGTCATCATGCCTAGAGGCACGAGAGTAAGCACTGCAACAGTCAGAATCAACAAGATTCCCAAGAGTAAGCCCAGAGCCTCAGGATATTGGAGGCAGCTGCCACAATAGAAAAAAATGCCCCCCCACATTCTCAACTTCTGGTTTGGAACATAATCCCCAGAACTCATCAGCTACTGTTCTAACTGGTACTTCCCAGGCATCTTGGAGAGCTCCAAAAACCTCTATTACTCTTCAGATGCATTTCACACAATATCTGAGGACAGCCAATATGAAATACATTCATGTTCCTCTGAGGTCCTATTTCTAGAGAACACATGCTGTGACTCTCTAATTATGGAGGTGACTATCTTGAAGAACTTTATCTTGTACAAGTATAGAGTGAAGCAGGCC